ATGATGAGCATTTTTTCATATGCTTGTTGGCCTCATATATGTCTTCTTTTGTAAAATGTCTGTTCATATTCTTTGCCCACTTTTGAATGGGATTTTTTGTTTTTTTCTTGTAAATCTGTTTTTGTTCTTTGTAGATTCTGGATATCAGCCCTTTGTCTGATAGGTAGAGTGCAAAAATTTTTTCCCATTCTGTTGGTTGCCGGTTCACTCTAGTGACTATTTCTTTTGCTGTGCAGAAGCTGTGGAGTTTGATTAGGTCCCATTTGTCTATTTTGGCTTTTGTTGCCAATGCTTTTGGTGTTTTGGTCATGAAGTCCTTGCCTATGCCTATGTCCTGAATGGTTTTACCTAGGTTTTCTTCTAGGGTTTTTATGGTGTTAGGTCTTATGTTTAAGTCTTTAATCCATCTGGAGTTAATTTTAGTGTAAGGTGTCAGGAAGGGGTCCAGTTTCTGCTTTCTGCACATTGCTAGCCAGTTTTCCAACATCATTTATTAAACAGTGACTCCTTTCCCCATTGCTTGTTTTTGTCAGGTTTGAACAAAGCATTGAAAACTCAAGTTGAGTGCCATATATATATGCGTCTACACAACATGACCATAATAGGTTTGTTTCAGTAATATAATTGGTCCAAGATTTTAAAAGTGTTGATATAATTTTGGTTATAAGCTGATTAAAAAGAAAAAAGTGATCATTTCAGTATGGGCAGAAAAAACATTCCATGTAAAATGCAACATTTCTCTAGAATTTTAGAAAGGCTCTTAGTATTCTAGGAAAAATGGAACACCCTAACTAAGAAAAGAACATCTGAAAAATCTATTGTAAACATTAATTAAATGTTAGAAGCATTCCATTTAAAAACATGAATAGACAAAAATGGCAGGTATGGAGACTTCAACATTGCATTGAAAATCACAGCCAAGACAATAACATAAGAAACAGATAAAGATCAGAAAGGAAGAAAGTGCCATATTATTTTTTTGCAAATACTCTTTGTAGTAAATGGAAATGAATATAAAGAAAACTCAATTGCTTTTCCAAAGAGAAAAAAAAGGTAAAGAGGAAGTCTAAGAAATCATGCCCTGTGTTGTAACAATAATTAGAAGATTTACAGATAGTTACTAAAGAATACTTATGGACGTGGACAGAATGAACATACTCAGGTGTAGAAAGATTCAGTAATACTGATATGTCAATACTTCCCCCAGTGATAATATATTTATTGTAATTCCTATTAAGATCATAGTAGTGCTTCTTTGTGGCATCAACAGCTAATTTTAAAATTAAATTGGTAAAGCCAATGGCCAAGAGGACCATGGTAGGATGGCTTGCTGTTCCAGTCAGCAACACTTCTTATAAAGCGAGCTTGTCCCACCTGCACTTGTGGGTGGCATACAGCCCAGGATGACTTCAATTGTGGCCCAACACAAATTCATAGACTTTCCTAAAATACTATGTGATTTTTTTTTAATTTTTTTTTTTTTTAGCTCATCAGCTATTCTTAGTGTTAGTGTACTTTATGTGTGGTCCAAGACAATTCCTCTTCTTCCAATGTGGCCCAGGGAAGCCAAGAAATTGGATACCCCTGCTATAAAGCATTTAGTAATTAAGACAGTAGAACAGAATAGACAGTCACAAGAAAAAGGGCTCATATATGAAACTATCATATTTGAAAGAGCTGCAAGAAACATTAGTGAGAAGTGAAAACACATTCAATAAGTGGTGCGGTGCCAACTGGCTATCATTGGATTAAAAATGAGTATAGATTCTGATCTCATATCATATATGAAAATCAGTTCCAGATAGACTGGGGACTTAAATCTGAGAGGCAAAATTTTAACTTTACAAAAATAAAAGAGAATATTCTGTGGCATTGGGGAAGGAAATAATTTCTTTAGTAAGGTACAAAAAAATTGCAAAATTGATATAAAAATTGATAAGATGACCTTAGGATTAAGAAAATATTTTCATCAGAATCCAAAATAATAAAATTGATTAAAAGCACCACAAATACAAAGAATACATTTGGATGTAGATCAGAGTATTTGCATCTAGATAGGTAGAGAACTAAGAGTAAGAAAGAAAGAAAAAAACCTGGCTGGGCTCATGACTCACATCTGTAATTCCAGCACTTTGGGAGGTTGAGGCAGGCGGATCATGAGGTCAAGAGAGACAATCCGGACCAACATAGTGAAACCTTCTCTCTACTAAAAATACAAAAAATTGCTGGGTGTGGTGGCACACACCTGTAGTCCCGGCTACTCAAAAGGCTGAGGCAGAATTGATTGAACCTGGGAGGCGGAGGTTGCAGGGAGCTGAGAGGGGTCACTGCACTCTAGCCTGGCAACAGTGTGAAACTCCATCTCAAAAAAAAAAAAAAGATTAAAAATGGGTAAAAGGTATATATATACATTTTACATAAGAAAAAAATTTTCAATCAATGCACAGAAGATATTCAATTGTATAATTCATTAGGAAAATCCAAAATCATAATAAAACACCATTTCACACCCCTCAGATTAACAAAATAAAATTTTCAAAAAAACATATTTTTAGGCTAGCCCTAGGAAAATAATTGTCCCTTACTTCTGAATCTCTGAACACAGCATTCTCCAAATCTGTAAGATCAAAAAAGAGAACACAAAATAGTGCATGACTCCTATCTTCAGAATTAGTAGGAGACAGACAATGACATGAGTTTCAGTGGCAAGTTTGAAAATAATTAAGCAGTTCCTGGAGCTGCCACTGGAACTCCACTTTCACTGGAAGTTTGTGAGTTTGGAGTAAAGAAGTGTAGGGTAATTAAAAAAATCTCCATGGACAAAGGAGTGGGAAGGAGGGAAGATAAAATATAGAAAAGACTGGGGCGTCCTGGCGCTGAAGCAGGAGGAGCCCTTGAGCTCAGATTGAAGCTGTAGTGAGCTGTGATTCCATCACTACAGCCCAGCCTGAGTGACGGAGTGAGACCCTGTCTCTAAAAAAAAAAAAAAAAAAAAAAAAAAAACCTCTGGAAGGAAAAACTCCAGCACCAAGTTCTACATTGTCAAATAAAACTCTGGAAACCTGGGAGTTATCAACACCAGTTACAAATCTCAGAGTGTCCGGAGATGGTTTTTTTAGAAAGAAGGAGATAAGTAGGGAAAGAAGAGAGGGCCCCTTCAGATTTGGTAGTGACATGAAAGCAGAATGCAATGAAGTTAAGGATGCCCTAGGACTTAAGGAGAAACAAAGCATGTCAACACCCTCTTCCCATCACCACCAACACAGTCATCGAAAAGACCGCACTTTCCTATTGTGATAGAAGAGTATGCTACCAAACCAGAACTTCATTTCATGAAATGCATAGGAATTAAAAGAGAGAGAGAGAGAGAGAAACCAATTTCAAGTCAAGACATGTAACAATAAAACAAATGCGAATCAAAACATTTCAGAAGAAAAATCTCTCAGAAAAAGAACTGAAACAGGAGCAAACAATAACACAACATTCAAACCTGAATTAAATGGCACTCAAACATTCAAACATTCAACTTGGAAATCTAAAAGGTCCACCTATTATCTGAAATTAAGAAAAGAAAGGAGGAGGAGGAAGAGGAGGAGACGCGGCAGCAAACAAAGAGGCAGATGAAGATAAAGAAGAGGACAATGAAGATGAAAGAGAAATCGGAGAAGGACAGCAGTGATGAGAGTTGACTAACAAAATAAATTAAGATGGAATAAGTTACAACGTGTTAAGGGATAATGTGCCTGTCCCAGGTTTTAAAGCTCTCCAGACAACATTGAGAACTATGATATACTTCTTGTGGAAGTATGAATTGTACATCCATTTTGGATAGCAATTTGGCATTGTCTACTAAAATTGAAGATATACATATGGATACGTATCATAGAGTAATTCTGTATACTCATTATGGGAATATGAATCATACATCTATTTTGGACAGCAGTTTAGCATTAACAATTAAAATTGAAGATATTATACTCAGAATATTTCTAGCTCTTGCATAACATAATCTAGAGCAGGCATCAGCAATCCACAGCCAATTGGCCAAATCTGACCTACTATTCTAATTTTGTAAATAAAGTTTTATTGGAACACAACTATGTATATTTGTTTACATGTTGTCTATGGCTGCTTGTATGCAAAATGGGAGTTGAGTAGTTGCAACAGAACCCACAGTTGTCCCACAAAACTGAAAATATTGGCTCTCTGGCCCTTTATGGTAAAAATTTGCCAATGCCTAGTCTAGAGAAACTCTTGTGCATAGGAAGAAACATGTAGTGAATGTTCACAGTGTAAAAGTTGAAAACCTCACAAGTATTCATCACCAGTGTAACTAAACTAAATTGGAATGATTTCCCATAATAGACTGTTTGCGGCAAAGAAAACAAAGGAGATACAAATGTGTCATCAAATAAACTGTTGGATTATACTCAACATTTGCATTGTGTGTTTGTTTCTTTGTTGTTTAGCTTTTAAAGATTGCTTCAAATCTTAGATCAAATACTTATTGCCTTTTTAGCAAGAGAAAACTTACCTAACACCATCTCCACAAATCATGATTTTCTTCTGACTTTTTAGCATGCCTAGCATATACACTGACATGGACATTTCTCAGTGCTGATTTTTTAAATTTTCTATGTACTTCTGAAAGAATTAGCTGGATGCATTTATATATAACACACACACTCACATATATATACAGTTACATTCCATATGCTTAGAGAATAATTATAAAGAATCGCACAAGTAACATTTCATGAGGCTTGGTGTCACATTCCCTTGGTTAGGTTGTTATGGCTCTGCCTGCTACCTGTGGGGTGATCTCTGAGGGTTCCTTCATCTCAGTGCTTTTCCCCGTGAAATGAGAACACAGTTATAATCATATTTGCTTTTCTTTTGTGTGTGTGAATAAAATAATGCTTGGTGCTCATTTGTATAAAGAATATTTTCAATGCCACTTCCGTTCTCAGGCACGCGCTGTCTGCCTGTCTCTGTTCCAGGTTGTACGGTTCTCCAGGTGACATTGACCTCTGGCCTGCCCTTATGGTTGAAGACCTGATTCCTGGGACAAGAGTGGGACCCACACTTATGTGCCTGTTTGTTACCCAGTTTCAACGGCTAAGAGATGGAGATAGGTGACGGATTATGTTATTCTTATTAAATATTGCAAAAACTGTTTTTGACCCAAAATGTATATGTATAACATATTGTGATTCATATATTTTATGATTTAATGCATATTGAGTATAATAAATATCAGACAGCATTTGGTGACAGAACTTTTGAAACCACTGGTATTCTCACATATCATTCATTTTTGTAAATCTTTGTAAGAAGAGAAGAAATAGAATTTTTCAAACGGCAGTAGAAGTTAGTGATTGAGAGGATGAAGGCTAGACGGACTACACTGAGCTTGAATCTGAGCCTCACCACTTACAGCTGGTTAACTTTGGGCATGTATCACTTGGGACTACGTTCCTCATCTGTAAAGTGTGAATAACAGTTGTACCTATTCCATAGGATTTCTGCAAACCTCAACGATGTTGAGGAGGAAAGAATTGAGAGCAGCCTTGAGATTCTCTGCCTTCATTCTCATGGAGGAAGACATGCTGACCCTAGACCAGCTCTCCCTGTAAAATTACATTATGAGGGCATTTACGAGTGGAAAGATAATCAGAAACTCTTTTCTAAAATTTCTTGCTTTATCTAAAATGTTAATTGTAAATAAATTCCATTATGAAATTATGAAAAACAGCAAGCTGGAGAATTAAGTTAGTCATGTAGTCCATTTACTGTTCTAAGACTAACCAAGAATAAAAACCAAGAAACCCAAATCTAGGCAGCCTCTCCTGAGGCTGCTCTTCTATTCTAAGAGACATGTGCTCTTCTATTGCTTGGAATCAAGTATGTCCCAGGGTATGGTATCTTCTGAATCACTCATAAAGTTTAGTGTTAAGTAAGATCCAGGAATAACAATATAACCCTTTGTATTACTGCAGAGATGAGGTATATAAGACTTGAAACAAAGCCCAGAGCTTAGTTTTTAATTAAAGTTACAATAAAAAATATTCTTAAATTTTCTTTCAAATCTCTTCCATTTGTAAATTATAAAGAAAGTAGCAGAGGATTTAATTCCCTTTATTGCACGTTGGTAACTATTAATAGTATATTTGATTAAATTACTTTTTAAAAATCACTTTTGACACTGAATCTCTTGACTTACATTATTGTGTTAATATACTCAATTGGCAATAGTTTAAGAATACATGTAGTCAAAGACTGAAAAAATTGAAAAAGCTTCAGTTTTGGGGGGTAAGCTGTCTTCCCCACATATGTTAGTTTGCGAGGCTGTTGTACCAAAGTTCCATAGCCTGGGTAGCTTAAACAACAGAAATTTATTATTCTCACAATTCTGGAGGTTAGATGCTGATCAAGGCATCAGCAGAGTTGATTCCTACGGGGCGTCTCTTCCAGCCTGTAGAGGGCATCTTCTCCCTGTGTAGTCACATGGAGTTCCCTCTGTATCTGTGACCACATTTCCTCTTCTTATAAGGATACCAGTCATACTGGGTTAGGGCTCACCTGCATCATCTATTTTACCTTAAATACCTATCTAAAGGCCGTGTCTCCAAACTGAGTCACCTTTGAAAGTATTGAGGCATAGGACCTCCACATAAACATTTTAGGGGGACACAGCTCAGCCCATAACACCAAGATAGTTAGTGGTAAGAAGCCTTTTTGTTTACCATCTTAATTTCCTTCTCTATACCCAGCACGAAAAAGTGCTTGGCATACGGCATTCAAATATTTACTGAATGAATAAACCCAACGATTGACTTTACTGAACCAACCTAAGGATTGACTTTAATAGTTCTTTTATTTACAATTCATTTATTCTTTCATCCTTTCACTTAAAATTGAATGTGCTTATTCTAGTTAGCCGATAGATATAAACCAAATAGTGTCTATTAATTATCAAAAGTGCTATTTTTTTTTGGCAAACATGTTAATATTACATTGCTCAGACAATTTCTAAGGTTAGTTTGTGGATTTTAAATGTATCAGTAGGGCTAGGTGTGGTGGCTCATGCCTATAATCCCAGCACTTTGGGAGGCCAAGGCGGGCAGATCACTTGAGGCCAGGAGTTCAAGACCAGCCTGGCCAACATGGTGAATTCCATCTCGACTAATGATATAAAAATTAGCCAGGTATGGTGACGGGCGCCTGTAATCCCAGCTACTCGGGAGGCTGAGGCAGGAGAGTTGCTTGAACCCAGGAGGGAGAGGTTGCAGTGAGCTGAGATCCCGCCACTGCACTCCAACCTGAGCTACAAATTGAGTGAGACTCTATCTTAAATAAATAAATAAATAAATAATGGACTTTTCTTTTTGGGGGAGAAAACTTTAGAAAATTCCTTTGAATCATTTTGTAAAGCTTGTGTAGAATGTGATAGTTTAAAAGCATGGGATTTAAGAACTTTGTAAATATTGGAGGGAATTAAAAGGATGCTCAGTTGGAGAGCAAGCATAATTCTTCCAATACGCTTCTTTTGTGTTGAGCCCTTCTTGATGCACTGTGGCTGTTTGACACGCAGCTGAGTTCTCAGGGCACAGACCCACGACAATGCCTTTTTTCATTGACTACCAGGTTTTGGTATGAAAACCCTGGAGTATTTACGCCGGCACAACTCACTCAGCTGAAGCAGGCATCCTTGGCTCGGGTGCTTTGTGACAATGGTGACAGCATTCGGCAAGTGCAGGCGGATGTCTTTGTAAAGGCAGAATACCCACACGATTACATCAGCTGCAGCGAGATCCCGAAGGTGGACCTGAGAGTGTGGCAAGACTGCTGTGCAGGTCAGTAATCACGCAGTGAGCCTAAGCTGGATTTATGTGTGTGTTCACGCGCTTGAATTGTTTTCAGTGGCAAAGATTATACACAATTTAAACAAAGATACACAAAAAGCCAGCAACACAGAACTATCCTTTTGAAGGGATGGACACCGGGAATGATAGAAACTCCCATGCTATCCATCCTCTTCTGTTCTACACTAACATTGTTAGAATGGGGACACTTGCTGGCAAAACTGGCCTCTGCCTTCTTATTGCATTTCAAATTTCTGCCCCAAAGATCAAATGCTGATCATGCGGTACTGATTATATCTACTTCTTAGGGCCCATCTAACAAGAGAGAAATGAAAGTTGATAGTAACTTGGCTAACTTAGATTATTCATTCTTTGTAGGATGTTGCAGTAGGGCTCATTGGAAATACAAGGAAATTTTGATAGTATCAGGAGAAAACTTTCTTTAATGGCACAACAGAATGTGTGACATCTACGGCATCACCATTTACGAACCAAACTTTCCCTAAGGTGCTTCTATAAGCATCTATTTTGTTCTCACGATATTCCTTTAGAAACGTGGGTTTCTTTCTCCTTTGATGAAAGTGTGGCTTGAAAATATTAAATGATTTTCTCAAAGCCCAAATATGAGTTAAGTGGTGGAGCCAAGGCCAGAGATAAGATGTATTGTTTGTTGAAACACAGAGGTGAACTGAGAACTTGATGGTTCTGGAGCGGAACTTGCTGATATCCACACAGGCGAGCAGGTGTCTGTCACGTGGAGGATACTTGCAACTCCTCTGGACGCCAGTGACATAAGGGCCACCATAGCCTCATGCCTGCTCCATGTAGTGGCCGTGGGCCTGGGAGTTCCGATGTTCTCTATGACTGAAATGATCATTCTCGGTACCTACGTAGTACTAGAGATTTGTGGTCGGGGAGGCAATTGAAAGGCACTGTTATAAATATGATGGAACACCATCCAGGTACGGTGGCTCATCCCTGTAATCTCAGCATTTTGGGACGCCAAGATGGGTGGATTGCTTGAGGTCAGGAGTTCAAGACCAACCTGGCCAACATGGCAAAACCTTGTCTCTACTAAAAGCGCAAAAATTAACCAAGAGTCGAGGCGGGCGCCTGTAAGCCTAGCTATTTGGTAGGCTGAGGCAGGAGAATCACTTGAACCCGGGAAGTGGAGGTTGCAGAGAGCCCAGATTGTGCCATTGCACTCCAGCCTGGGTGACAGAGTGAGACTCAATGACACCTGAGTCACGGTGGCCTTTTCACTGTGGTGGTGCTTTATCGGACACAGCAAAATCCCAGGTACTATGGTGTGGGTGGTGTAAGGGTAGCCGAGAGAAAGGAGAATAGACCCAAAGTCAGGCAAGCAAGTTTTATTAACCTGCCAGCTTCTCCGTAACAGTCAGAGGAGGCAGCCCCGAGCTTACAAAACGAGGGGTGTTTATGGGGTGAAGGGGCATAAGGGGATTTTAGGACTGAAATAATCTATTGACTGGTAACAGGCACAGAGATAGTTTGTTAACTCATAACAGACCTACAGTACATCATCCTGTGACTTTTGTGGCGGCAGACTTTTATAAAAAGAAAGGAACCAGGAGTTTTTTAAATAGATGTGTGTCAAACAGGAATTTACAAGTGTGGATAACCAACATATGTTTTCCCTGTCCTCCCTTGAGCTGCTGGAATGGCTGTAATCAGGCTTTGCTTAATTGCAGCACGTCTGGCAGCCTTGCTGTGGCGCCTAGGTGGGGGTTCAGGAATGCAGCTGCAGAGCAATCAGAGCAGGGAAGGGGTCAACCTGCGCGGAGAGGGGTTTCTTGTCCCTAACAGGTGGCGTTCTTTCCCTTGCCTCAAGTGCTTGGAGATTAGATCCAGGAATAATGAAATAGTTCCACCTCTCCAGAATATGGGGAGGAGGGGGCAATATACAAACTATATAAATGGCAACTAGTAACACTCCTTTGCTTCTTCTCTGGTGCCCCTGGGATGGGATATAGGGCCTGCCGAGCAGAGGAAGAGATAGATGGCATGGCAGGGTGTGGGCCGTGGTGACCAGAGTGGTGCCCTGCAAGGGAGCAATGGTTCTGTGTAGAGGCAAAGGCTGGGTGTCCCTTACACTGACACATACCATTTCTGGCTCTTCTCTCCTCTGGCCATGTGATAGGTGATTCATGGAAACACCTAGCGCATAATTGTCCTGAGTCTTTTAAGGTGGGTGTTACTATCTGTGATTTACATATGAGGAAAATGAGGCTCCTGGAAACTAAATCCATTTTCTTCTTTTTTTTTTTTGAGACGGAGTCTTGCCCTGTCGCCCAGGCTGGAGTACAGTGGCGCGATCTCGGCTTACTGCAATCTCTGCCTCCTGGGTTCAAGCAATTCTCCTGCCTCAGCCTCCTGAGTAGCTGGGACTACAGGTGTGCGCCACCACACCCAGCTAGTTTTTTTGTATTTTTGGTAGAGACAGGGTTTCACCATGTTGGTCAGGATGGTCTCGATCTCCTGACCTTGTGATCCACCTGCCTCGGCCTCCCAAAGTGCTGGGATTACAGGCGTGAGCCACCACACCTGGCCCCTAAATCCATTTTCTAAGGTCTCACAGCTGACCTGAAGGCCTTGGCTCTTTCCTCTGTGCCCACTGCCACCTGGCACAAAGACAGTGAGCAGGCACCCACAACAGGCTGTTCCTCTGCTGCCCTCCCCCTTATTGTCATTGTTCCACATTGAGGACGGGAGGAGGGCTTCTCTGGTTATTTAAATGGTAATGCACCTGCTGTGGACAATGTTTGTTATGGAAAATGCAAGGCAAGGATGTAACAGACCAGGAGTGAGTTGAGGTCCTGAGTTTGTGCAGTGTTCTTACTAAGATCTGCGGTCCCAATCAATCATCAAAATACTGTTTCTCTGAGAGTGTCATAAAAAAAACTCCGCAAATGAATAAGCCAGTAGTCAACATCTACTACATAATTGGATAGAAAAATATAGTGTTTTTGTTTACGGCACTATAAAAATGGCCAGAAGTCATGTCAGTAGCAAAATTACCTAAGTATATGAATATGCCTGATGTAGTTCCAATCATAATGTAATGTTTGTAATGAGAACCATTACAAAAGAATGCACATTTTATTTTTCCATGTACTTTTTGACTAACAAGCATGGATTTTTCAGAAAAATTAAAAGACAGTTTAAAATGAGTAGCTTAAAAATGAAGACGTTTAGTAACTGCTCAAAAGTGGACCAGTTTCTTATTGTGTGGGCTTCTTATACTTTCCAATTAACAGAAACATTGCTCTGTGTCGATTAGGGGACTGCTGAAATATTCAGATCTCTGAGGAACTAGTTTCTAGACTGTGGTTATGTAGTTTCAGGTAGGTTATACATTTTAACGGTCTGAGTTAATTAAAGGAGTTGAGAAGTGCTGGTATCGACCACATTGAGACCTTCCCTGACACCTGAAGTTGTGAATTTCCCAAACAGAAAAGGTATATTAAAAGACCTACAAACTTTGTCACTACTCAGTACATTTGTCTTTGTCATGTGTTCATTCATGTTGTATTAGTAGATTTCTTCCGTCTCCTTTCCGAGTCTCACTCTCAGATTAAAATAAACGATTGTGTTAAAATTATTTATTTATTTATTTTTCTTTCTTTGAAATGGAGCCTCGCTCTGTCGCCTAGGCTAGAGTGTAGTGGCAGGATCTCGGCTCACTGCAACCTCCGCCTCCTGGGTTCAGGTGATTCTCCTGCCTAGCACTACACCTGGCTAATTTTTGTATTTTTATTAGAGACGGGGTTTCATTACATTGGCCAGGCTGGCCTCAAACTCCTGACCTCAAGTGATCCTCCTGCCTTGGCCTCCCAAAGTGCTGGGATTACAGGTGTGAGCCACCTCACCCAGCCAATTTAATTGTTTTAACCGGCATTATCCTAGAGAAAAATATAGATCTCTGTGTGGGATGTAAATGTCCCCTCCAAGCAGATCTAGTGGTTCATTTTGTTAAAATGAAATGTATGATTAAATCGATCCTCAGCTCTTTATGTTACTTTTATAAAATAATTTTATCGTGAACAGGGCTATTTTTTTTTCAGCTTTGTTTCCCATGAATAATAGCCTACAGGTTAATACTGATATCAGCATCTTCAAAATTTCACTACAATTTTTAAAAATCCTGGAAAAACTTTTTTCCTAAATTCATAAACACATCGAAATGGACTCTAATCTGTTTAAACAGTGATAATATAAATGCAATCAAGATTTACATTATTATATCTTGTTACTGTTTGTAGGTAGAAAGCGTGAGACCTAAATAATGAAGCTGGGATTTGTGTCACTCAGCTGTAAGGCTGTAGGTTTTGCAGGTGATCAAACTAGAGAAACTTGGGGTGTTAAGACTTGGTTTGTATTTTTCATGTCATTCGTTATGTTCAATGAAGAATTTTGTTATCCACTCTTTTTAACTGATGAATTTCAGTTTCTCTTCACATAAACTAGAGACTTTTTGTGTGTGTGTGTGACATAGTCTCTCTCTGTTGCCCAAGCTGGAGTGCAGTGGCGTGGTCTCAGCAACCTCTGCCTTCCAGTTCAAGCGATTCTCCTGCCTCTGCTTCCTGAGTAGCTGGGATTATAGGTGCCTGCCACCACACTCAGCTAATTTTTTGTATTTTTAGTAGAGACGAGGTTTTACCATGTTGGCCAAGCTGGTCTCAAACTCCTGACCTCAAATGATCTGCCTGCCTCAGCTTCCCAAAGTGCTGGGATTACAGGTGTAAGCCACCATGCCCAGCCAGAAACTAGAGAGTATTCTAAAACAGCATGGTATTTTTGTTTTTCTTTTTGCCTTTAACTAATTTCATTGTCGTTGATATTTTCTTTTCATACCTTGTATAAATTTCCTCACGTCATTCCATGTATCTATTATTTAAGTAATTCCCTTAAAATATTGCTTAGTGTTTAATGGATAGAATTGTATATAACAAAATTTATGCAACCATACT